ATCTTCAGAGAGCAGGAGCAAGAGAGAACTGCTCCTGTCTGTGCTCCTGCACTCTGAAGATGCCGGTCACGGGCGCTGGCGAAACGTTAGGAAACAAAAGTTCCAGAACACGGCCACACAGCCCGGAAGACCCACACCAGCCATCGTATGCCGGCCGTGAAAGCCTTCAACAATACACAGATAATAGAAATGTTTTTTTTTTCGACAATACACAGATAATAGAAATGTTTTTTCCAAATTCACAAAATGTTTCCTGTTTCCAATTTTCCTTTTTTTTTTTTTAATCTTGCAGGATGAAGTATCTTTGGACTTCCCACGTATGTATGTTTGCAGCTTCTGGCCTGTGCAGTAGTGACATCTGGGGACTGGTTTTGAAATGTGTTCATCTTCACACACCCAAACGGGTTAGAGTTTATTGGTCTATTTAGTTATGTAAGAAATGTATATGGCCACTCGATTCGAACAGCTGGAACTCTGCATGGCATGCAGTCAACAAGCAAACAAACATTAACAGACCAGTACATTTAAAAACGGCAGCAGAAATGAATAAGCAATCAGGAACCCCAGATTTAGATTACACCCCTCCAGGCAGGAATTTCAGTCATTACATTTTGATCTTCTGATTTCAGCGATGAATGAAATTCTGGTTCAATTTTCATTGCCTAAAACAGACTTGTAATATGGTGGATGAAAGCAGATTGCGTACAATTTAATTAGGTACTCCGAAGGGGTTGTATAATGTTTCATTTCTAACTCTGTTGAGCTCAAAACTCACAAAATGTCCTGTTTCCAATGCGAAACTTCCGTTCTCAAGGCAAAACTGCTCGTTTTAAGCATTTTTAATGTGTTTTAAAAAGCTTCCAGCAATGTTCAAAATGCCTATTTTCTGCTTGAAATAGCCAGTTTGCATTCAAAGTGGAATGTTTTGCAATGTTTAGAGCTCAAAATAGTTCATAATGAAACATTTACACATTCCTAGTATTTAGAGTGCATTTGGAAACATACTCCTTTTTAAAAAGAATGCTATTTAAGTCCACTAGATGGTGATGTTGTAGAAGCTACGAAAAGCATAAACAAGGTAAGGATTTTCATGAAAAATTATGAGAGTATATGATTGCTCAGATACAGCACAATAAAATTCAATGAAATTCACGAAAACTAAATTGATGCACAGTCTTTGCTTAACATTCTTAATAGAAAGACTTTCAAAGTAAGTCATTCTGTGACCTCAAAGTATGCAAAATTTGAGAAATTTCTTATGAATTTGATCTAAATAGTTTTTTTCCCCTTTCAATACATATAATTGTGGCCTTTTCTCTATAGGTATCTGTGATTAGATATTTAACACCAATCCTCATACTGCTGTATCTTTGTTATAAGGTAAGACCCTTCTTTAAATCTTTTTAAGTTTTTTTTTTCTTTTCTCAGAATAGAAGTCTTTCTATCAAAGATTTACCTGTTTGAATTAAAGGCACTGAGGATAATCTGTGATGAGTTATTGGGCCTGTTGTTAATACAATTCAACAAGTAAATAATAAAAAACAGGTTTTTCTTCCTCCATTTCTTTCATTTGAACTTCCTTTGATTTTATTTAAACTTTTATATGAGAATGGAATTCTAAACCTTACTCTATTGGCATTTATAAAATTTTGAATCCATTTCAGTCCCCCCTGGGTTACCAAAGTCACAGCCCCCAGTCTGTGACTCAGTCCCAGGGATCAGGGCCAGCTCCTTCTCGGTGATATAATTAGAGACTTTTCTCCTGCATTTGCCCTGATCATTTGCATTTAAGAGATATTAAATTTAGCCTTTTTTGGTTTGGCTTTACATTTTACTTCCTCCTCTTTTACTTGCTGGCGGACTGTGTTTGGGTTAAGAGTTGATAGCTTGTATTTACCGTTAGCCACTTCAGAGAGATTTACGCTAATTGTAAGACATTTGCTGATGTAAAATAATTGAGTAAATATTATCAATAGGTGAAGAGTGGCATTGAGTTGCATAGTCTGAAGGCACAGACTATAGTCTCTTCCTTGTCATTTATATTCAGAGCATGTTTATCAACAGGCCTTTCCAATGCTTGATTTAGGCACTTTGAAAACACTCTGTTGGTTATGTATGAGCTGTTTCCAGAGCCGCCGTGGTAACCTGTACTGGCTGATCCTTTATTTCACCACATTTACCAGCACAGAATCTGGGTATAAGATATGGCTTATTTTTAGCTTTGCTCTGGAAACTAACGATGGCAGATTCTTGCTTCTGTGAACAGGCTCCAAATCCAGAGATCCTGTCAGGAAGCATAGTTTCTGTGGAAGGCACAGGTTGTCCTTTCTTGTCTTACTAAACCAGTGTTGTCCAAACTTGGCCACTTTAAGATGAGTGGACTTCAACTCTCAGAATTCCCCAGCCACCCATGCCCTCTGTATGCACACCTGCAAAATCCACTACATAGCACACTGTTCTCTTAAATGCTGGTCAGCGTCTGGAACCCCTTTCCTATCCCCTCTGAGTGCCTTTGCACTTTTGCACATCCCCATTTGGATATAAACTATAAATAAGTCATCTCTCACATTTGGTTTCCAGGAATTAGTTTTGCCCAGTTGTTTGTAGTGATATATTTTAGCCTGCCAATATATGTTACCCCTCCCCTCAAATATTTCCTAGGGATTATAATCTGATCCCAATTAAGCTAATGAAAGTCTCCGTGGAGGCACCAGATCACAGTAGATCCAAATAGATTCTTGAAAGATTAATTGGTTGGACTTCCATCATGGCTGTGTTACTTGCTGATTTAGAAGCATTCTCAGGTGTCCTGCAATGTGTAAGACATCTCTGGAGTTTTTTTTCCCCCACCCTGCAGTTTTCTGCTCTAAATTTTTCCAGCCTGGGAGGGGAAAGGCATGAGTTCCAGGTGTATATTTCTCAAGGTTAAAAAAAAAAAAATCTGGAGTCGCAGGAGAGAAAATGGGGTTAGAGGGGTAAAAAAAGGGCAAATATCATCTTTCTCCATGTCATTTCTCCGTTACAATTTGCTCCTGATTTCCAGTTGTTTTGGACTGTAGTTCCTACCAGCCCTATGCAAGCTGTAGTCTCAAGCACACCTCACTTCAGGTTAAGATACTTTTTAAAAAAAATTAATGGCCTTTTTCTGTGGGAAGAAAAATTCTTACATATAGCTGATGATTTCGAAGACTTATTTTCTGAGATCAGCAACACACCTACCCAGCAGCCTCTGCACATCAGGCAAGATGGAAGTTGCAGTTTTACAAATGAAGCCCAGACCCTTGGCAGGGGCATCGGGTGCAAACACATTTACAAAACAGGATGGGGCTTGAATTGCAATGCTGTGGCTGCCACCTTGCCCGCTTTCACTCACACACACCTGCACACCATGTGTACACCTGTCTGAGTTGTATCTTTCAACAGTTGCCCAATTCCCTGTTCTGGATTTCATCCAGGCCCATATTTTTTCTTGCACGTGTTTTGAAACAAGCGTCAGCCGTTGTAGAACGGAGCCAAAGAAGACAGGGCTTCAAAGGTCAGCAACATCTGCTGGTAACGTTTGCTGCCGATGCTTTATAAACAATTGTTTGTATGCGCTGGAGAGCTGAGCTCATTTTGGTGTCTGCCATGATTTATTTCTCTGTGTTTATTTTCTTTCTAGTTCCTGCCTGGAATAATGGCAGAGCTGTCAGAGCTGGGAGAATTCTATGATCCCGACACAGTGGAGCTAATGAACTGGATTAAGTAAGAGGAATTCTACTCTGTTTAAATAGCATGCTAGATAGGATGAGTCAATGTCTTTTTTGTGACAGTGCCTGCCAATTCTACTGGTTACTTAAATTCACAAACCTGAAAAGTGGGCTATGTAACTGGGTTTAATACGACCACTAAGATCTCTGCCAAGTGCCAGTTTTTCACAACCTATAGCCTTCAGATGAGTTGGGACTCAGTTTTGGTGTGGCAGTCACAACAGAGCAGTTGGGAAGACTGTTAGGTATAAAGACTCTTCTTGAAGCATCTTCTTAGAAATGTTTGCTCCATCAGACCAAACATTCAACAGCTGAAACATTTCCCCATTCCTTACCATGGCTTGGCAACCTTCTTCACCCCTGAACCCAATAGTGCAATGGCCCAGGTTCCAAACAAGTAAGAAAATTTTAAAAAAAAATCATAAACAAACTATTGCAAGTATTTTACAAGATGGTACACAATTTTGGCATGTGTACCATCTTGTAAAATTGGCAGATTATTGGCAGATTATTCTTTCCTTTGTTTTGAGAGGAACATTTCTTGGAGGATCCAGTAGATGCTACCTTGTTATACTTCTTCTTAAACCATTATCTTATCCATCCAAGAAACTTTGGCCAGTATGGGCACATTCAACACAACCTCATTGGCATAATTCTCCACAATTGAAGAAATACTGCAGAGTCCAAAATGTATCTAATTATAGGGAGGTGGGCAGGGGGGATATGGAGAAATGTTTGGAGGTCATTCAGCTTGTATTGGGAGCAGTCTTCATCCTGGGTGGAAATGTAAGCTGGGCTTATTCCAAACAAGCTGTTGCTGGAGCTGAATCTCACTGGTACAAGAACAGAGAAAGATTTTAACTCCCAGTAAGATTAGCTGGGAGGGTCCAGTCTTGCCCCTGATTGCGCTTTTGGGAGCAGCCCTCAACTTGGCAGAAGAGAGTTTTGGAGCCCTTAACTACATGGCCATATTTTGTCTATGATTCTGTGTCTAGTTGCTTGTTTGGAACCTGGAACATTGCACCATTGTCTCTGGGCTGAAGAAAGTTGCCCAACCATAGTAACGAATGGCAAGTTGTTTCAGCTGATGAAAATTTGGTCTGATGAAGCAAAAAAAAAAAAAAAAAGTCCCTTTCTAGTCTTATCCTTGATTTAGATGATCTCTAGGGGTGAGGAGCATTATGTCTGCTCTTTATACCACCTCACTCCCTAATTTCTCTCTTTCTGGCAATATTAATGAATAGTGTCATTATTCATGAGTAAAGAGGCAATATAAATTGCTGACAGCACTCTGGAAGCCAACTAAAGTCATCTCCATCCCTCTGCTCCCTTATTGACATATTCTCATGACAAATATTCACCAGCCAGAGGTCTTTAAAACCACTTCTATATTAAGAGATGCTAAATGTTTGATAAGCCTGGTCTCCGGAGTGCAATATGCAGTGTTTTATATATAGATTTATACATAAAATATACATGGGTCTTTGGGTTCAGCCACAAACTAGATTTGACGAGTTGCAATGAGAACCATTATTCAACACAATTCTAGGCTGGAGAATGCAAAACTGCTGCTTATCCTCTTCCTTTTAAATCAGCTTTTTCTTGTGGTTTGTTACGTGGAATTTATGGTAGTGGAGAGTGAACATTATGCATAGAAGAAGTTAATTACTTTTGCACTAACAGCAGTTGGCAACCAATTTATGCCTCTCACCTGAAGTTGAGACTCAAAACTTAATAAGGTCTCAATAACTCGGTTGTAGTTCAAATCAAATCAAATCTTTATTACAAAGACCAGTTTAAGGAGGGTGGGGTACAGTCAATTAAAAAGCATAGAAAATACATCAGAGTATAATAAAAAGCTAAAAGACCTAAAATAGAAAGTATATATCTGAAAAGAATCTAAAAGGAGGGGTAGGAGCATTAGATGGGTGTAAGGGACCATCAGTTGTGGTTCGTACAACCCTTAGAAGTCTCAGTCAGACTTCACCTTGTCTCATTCAGCACTTCTATATACAATCCTTTGGCTTTCGACCTGCAGTCTTCTATCTTTCCAGGTGTGTTTTCCCCCCTCTTTTCTTTTTTGAAATCAAAGCTCCTTAAAAGGGCTATCTTTCCTTTGTGGTATGTCCTGCTATGCTTCAAATAAAGCACTTTTTGTTCCTTCAAACACCATCAGGGAACATCCAAGCTATGCAAAGGTAATGCCAAATTTAGGGGAGTTTAATGTTGCAGTTACCTGCATTTATAAAGCTGTGGCCATGCAAGATTGCAAAATGTGCACAGAAATATTAATTTCCTTCTTCTAATTTGACCATGAAATGAATCTTCACTTTTGGAAGAAGCTTTTCTTTTAGAAAAACTTATTTTTTTTTCTTTTTTTTGCAAAAGGAAGGGAAAGCTCTGCCTTCTCCCCAGATCCTTGTACTTCCCATTGAAGCTCTCTGTTGTAAATGAGTTATTTTGTAATAATCCTATAATACTGAAAAGTGTAGATAAAGCAGAGGTTCCCATTTTATATTATAGTGCGCTCAGCTTACCCCATTAGTTTAACAGTAATTAACTTGTTGAAGCTTGGAGCTTCCAAAATAAATGAGATTATTTGTTCAAAATGCCATCAGGTCTGCTTGGAATGACATTTAAATTACATAATGTAAATCAGTTTGACCTGTAAGTCCTTGTCATTATTTAGTGACATTTCTTGCAGAATAAATTGCGTGAAGGTTGAGCAGCCTGGATATGAAGCTTGGCAGAAACCTATAAAAACAAATTATCCTTTCATTTTATACATCATTTATCCAGACATTTGTAAAAATTGCTTCGTCTTTCTGTAATGGAAAAGTGCCGTTCGGTCGTTTGAAGCACATTAGCTACGTAAGACTCAAGTTGAGCATTTTAGGGGCTGCATTAGGGAGAAGGATTCGAATAGAAGGAAGCACCCTGTGCTAAGGACACTTGATCAGATTGTCCCCCTCTAGTGGCTGTCATTCCTTGAGACAATTTCTCCACTGCTTCCGTTAGTTATTCATAGCAAATTCCCACGCTGCCAAGAAGGGATCATTGGCAGAAATGATTTTCAGGTTCAGGTATGGCTCACCGACTACAGTCACATTTTACTGATTGGACCAGTACACGACCATCAGTTAGGTCAGCCCTACAGCATCCGTAGACCCCACAGCACCCATATATCAATAAATGATCCTAAAGAAGATGCCCTCAAGGCAAGCTTGATGCCTGGGGATGCATTCTTAGTGGTATTATAAAAAGTAGCTTGCCATTACTTTCTTCCAGGAGTTTCTTTGGACTTCCCAATATAGCTAACAGCCTAGGATTTTGGGCGGTCTCCCATCCCAAGTATTGATCAAGGTCAGGCCAGCTCACCTTCCACAATCAACTGCAGTGCCTACCGAAACCCAATTTTGAAAGAATAAAATAAGAAAGGAATTAAAAATGACCGGATTTGGGTGAAAAGGCCGATGCTGAAAGATTTCAATGTTCTAGCCAAGTCAGTGAGGTCTGGGGATGGATGGATGGATGGATGGATGGATGGATGGATGGATGGACGGATGGATTAGATAAAGACATCATCTTAGGCTGTTGGGAGAGGGCTGTTGAGAGTGGTTACCCACTCCCATTCTCACCCTTAAAAACTCCCCTCAAAGTAAAAACATATTAGTCCTGCCTTTCCTGTGGTGTCACCACCCTTCCAGTGAACCACCTGCAGTTCTCCAGCCAGCCAAGACAGTTGGCTGTAAGTTGCAGCCCCTGATTCTGAGAAGAGCATCCACCCCAAAGGTAGGTGAAAAGATTGAATAAAAACACTGTAAATGAATAAAAAGATCACACCAGTTCTAGAAATCATATTCTGCATGTACCAAGAAATCATATGCTGGCTAGGGAATGCTGGGAGTGGAAGTCTTGAACTTCTCAAAGTTGCCAAGATTGAGAAACACTGCCCTAGATCTTACTTCTTGCATCGCCTACTTTTGTACAGAGCTTTTGCAATCATAATAAGGACAATAAAGGGGAAGAAAGATACAGTGGTACCTCGGGTCACGAACTTAGTTCGTTCTGTGACTCTGGTTGCGACCCGAATTGGTCGCGGCCTGAATCAAATTTCCCCA